AAAAAAACTGTCATGAGCTGCAAACTGCCACACATGTAAAGTGAAGGCGCTGCTTCATGACCCCTACACTTTTCAAAGGTGCAAATTTTATTTCCCTGATTGCATAAACATAAATCTTTTAAGAGTAAAACACCATACTGAAGTTAGGGAGGATATTCTTCGCAGTTTAGTCGATTTAACACAAAAAGTCACCAGGGTTGAGATTCCTCCTGATGTAGGAAGATCAGTATGGAGGAACTTCAAAATGCAATTGAACAGCCTTGTTCACTGAAAGCCTATTAAGCATACCATGTGTATGTTTTTCTTCAAGGCCAGCAGAGAACTAGAGCACACCATGTTTGTTTTTAAAGTGCAGCCAAGACAGTTTCAAGTGGCAGGATGAAAAGGAATGGTGTCACTGCATACTGGGGACAACGCATATCTGTTTCTGCTTTGCTTGTCTGGTTCAATTACAGAAAATTACAGGATTGTGTTTTATGAGCAGGGAAGAAAAAAAGGAGAACAGCGTGGGCCTGAAGGGCGGCGTAGCCAAGCTCAATGAGGTGGGACCGAGAGTCTGGAATTCACACCTTGATCCCTACAGAGGTCCTGTCGTGACCATGCTAGACAAGAGAGCTGTTATTACACTTGGCAGCAGGCTGGCAAAAGGCAGGAGAGGAAATGGACTCAGCAGAGGAGCAAGACAGGCTTTCAGGAAGTGGGCAGAGGTCATTCTGAAGGCCAGGCAGGGGAAGCAAGCTCTAATGGACAAAGGACAGTGTGCAGGCCCAATCAGAAGGGGCAGGAAGGGTACCACGGGGAGGAGAAGGCACAGGGCCTGAGGCAGGGTCTTCCCAGGCAGGGTTGACACCACATGATGCCTGTGGGTGGGGTCCTCTGAGGGTTCAGCAGCTCTCAATTACCTGTTTGTCTAAAACACTAACAAAGACAATGTGGCTTTGACTCTGTATTTCAGATGTAATTAAAAATAAGATGTCACAATCTGACTTACCCCCAACATGGCCAAGACCTTAATGAGGGGGGGCTTTGCATGCTGACAGACCAAGCCCGGCTGAAGGTTCCTAAAAGGGTCATGTAGTGAGCTGCACTTGACAAGGTGTTCAAGACTGAAGTGCAGAGGCTGGACTGGAGAAAACGATAGGGAAGAGATGGCTGTCCAGGAAAGGACCACACCAAAGGATAGGAAGACAAGAGTACAAAGGCAGGTCCAGGGCCGATCAGGTAACTGGGCACAGAGGCGCAGGGAGCGCCCAGGGGCTTTGCACCCCTGAACTGCTTGATTACTACAAACATAACTTTCATAATTAGACATCTAGAAATAGCAGTCTTCTTTAAAAACAGAGATACGACAAAACTATAAAGTAAATTATAAACTAAAAAATGAAATACAGACTGAGAATCAGACTACAGTAGTAGAGAACTGCCTTGCTAATTTTGTTAGGTATGGTTAAGAAACCATTTCCTTGTTAGAGTGACTCAGGTACATTTATGACAGAAATAACAATGTTTGAGATTTGCCTTGATAAACACAAGTGGGGAGTATTTTACAAAACAAACCAACAAACAGAAAAGTAAGTAGGGAAGAAACAGATTTTTAAGAACTGGCAAAGTGTAGAGAGCTACTGAAGTTGGGCACTGGGTCTCCTCGTGGAGGTTCATTTTACATTCCTGTCAACTGGGGGGCGGGGAGAAGCACAATGTTAAGAGTTGTGAGTTAACATTTTATTTGGAGCAAAATGAGGACTATAGCCAGGGAGTCAGCATTTCATATAGCTCTGAGAAACTGACTCAAGGAGGTTGAGAGGTGGTCAGTATATTTGTAATTTTGGTGAAGGGAGAGTATATGCAACCAAGCACTTATTTTTTGCAGAAGGCTGATGCTAATCTTGTGAAGGTTACTGCTAGTCACGAGGAACAGACGTCACTATGAAGGAATTTAGTGCTTTTCTAGATATGAGGAGATGAAAGAACTGGGTTCATAAAATCTTCCCTGGAAAATAATCTTAACTATCTGAAGACCTGTCCTGCCAGTTTTTTCCAGAGCCCAGAGCGCCTGCTTTCTGACCTCCTCCTTGAACTCCTTTCAAGCAGTGTTGAAGGTTAGCGGTTGCAGAGGCTCATAATTTGATCTCTGGAGAGGCAGACAGCAAGTGCGAATTTGCAGTTGACACTCCTACTACATGTTTGAAAAGGTCATAAAAAGTTTAAGAAATAACAGGAGAGCAGAGAGGCAGAGATGCTAAATGTGTTCTGTTTCTGCTGAAAAAAAGTCCAGTCCTAGCAGTTCCCTGTGAGCCCTCTGCAAACGGAGGGAAGAGCACAGCAACTGAACCAGCTCTCGGGCAGGGAGTCTGATATCCCCTATCTGATGCAGAAATGAGAGATCAGAAAGATGATCAATCCAAATCTTAAAAGCTAATTTTCTTTATATCTCCCTAAACTATTTTTTCTAACACAAACCAAAATAAAGCATTTTTTAATAAAGTCAACAATTTCCAAGATCTTTTGAGTGTCATAGATGCCTCTGAAAATCTGAGCAAAGCTCTGGGACGTCTCCGTCAAAATATAAGCACACATCAGTTATTGGGCTTAATTCAATGTAGAGAGGTGATCAAGTCCACTTTGCTGGGAAGCCCGAGAAGGGGCACTGCCACTCTAAACGTCCACTGATTGATACCATCCTGTCCCTCTCCCTCTAGGATATGCTGAGTCCCCTGGAGAACCTGACAACAGAAATCAGCAGATAAAATCTGACCCAAAGATGCCAACCTGCATGTATTCTCTTATTAAACTACAGTTCTTTTTGGAGATCCTTTACCCACACCCCTGCAGAGTCTCAAAGAGGTGCTTGCTCTGACCTGTGGAGCCCAAGGAACCAACCCTCACTCTAGAGTCTTCCTCAGAAGGCTGCATCAGTTTTGTTAGTAGTCCTCTCACTGTGCTATCCTCACTCTCAGGACAGATGGATTCTGTGACCATTCCACCCAGCCTGAGAGCCCCCAAGTGCTTCCCAGTCATCACATGCTACCTTTCTTGATGCTATGTGATAAAAATACTTTTCAAGAATTGGTAGGGGAAAAAAAAAGAATTAGTGGAGCAAAGAGCATTTTTAGGGTGGTGAAAATACTCTGTATGATGTATTGTAATGGTGAGACATGTCATTATGTATTTGTCCAAAACCACAAATGCATACTACCAAGAGTGAACCCTAATGTAGACTATGGGCTTTGGGTGATGATGACATGTCAGTGCAGGTTCATCAATTATAACAAACATTGTAAGTCTGGAGGGGAATATTGATGGTGTGGGAGGCTGCATGTATAGGGGCAAGGAGTATATGGCAAATCTCTGTACCTACCCCTCAATTTTGCTGTAAACCTAAAACTCCTCTAAAGAGTAAATCTTAAAAAAAATTTTTTAAGCAATAATAATGATAATGATATTAACACAAATACGAATATTGGTGACAGTCCCTGTGATGGTTTCAGCTCCACTTTTCAGAGCTCTGCATCAGAGAGTGGTGTGCTTCTTCACTGCAACCCATTCCCATGACACATCCACATATGGACACCCCCAAGCCTAGATCCATATTACCTTGTAAGAGCTCATTCCAGTGCTATTCCCTCCTAAACCAAATAGAACTTACGAAAACTTGTTTGGTTCTACAAAGAGGTTATATCTGAGAAAAGGAAGGTGGGGAACAGCCTGGACACGAGACGGAGTCTGATTCCAAAACCCCTGGGCTAAGTTTATTTGAAAGAGAACCTTGTAGCAACTGTCCTCAGGAACTGCTAATATCTGACATCACTGGCAGGGCCAGTTTTATAGAGAACTTCTTTCTGGGTGGTCCATTTGTCTACCGTCTTGGGAGACACACCCCAGATCTCCTCCCATAGAAAACCAGATCTCATGTTGCTCAAGGAGCAATGCAGCTTCCAGGTTGCCAAGAAAACAGGGAAGGGAAAGACCTGGCTAGATGTCCTCCTTTGCTGGGCAAGGAGGTTCAGACCAAGAGGTGGCATTCCTGATAAAACAAGGCTGGGGGCTCCCGCAGTCACACAGACATATCCAATCCTAAATGTCACTAACACTTCAGGGTAAAGGGTAAAGATTATACCCAAAGGCCTTACAGAAGCAGGCTGCTTTTTGAAGACAAATCCCTAAAATTCACAAGGAAGGAAGAGGCCAGATCAACAGAGATGGCAGCCAGCCTCTGATGGGCACTTCCTATATGTAGACCCTGAGCACCTCGTATATACTGTCTCCTCAGATCTCCCCACACCCTGCAAATGGGCCACAAGGAGCTGAGCAGCTTGGGGACCCATCCTCCAGCGCCTGCACTGGGCCAGCTGCATGACCTGAAAGCCAAGAAACAGTTACCAAAACTCATAAATATCACTGGCCAAAATGCTCTGAAGAAGTTCTGCCACCAGGCATGCTCTGCATCAAGTAAACACGTGAAGGGAGAGGTTCTAAATAGCCTCATACATCAAAACAGAGAAATTAGAAGGAAGCCTTCACAGAATTTACTTTCAAATACAGGAGAGGGACATGAATGTGCTGATCTAAAATGTCATTTGTAGAGAAATCACATGAGATGGTTTTCAGGTGATCCGAGGACAGTGGGATGGAGGAGCTTCCTGAAGGTCCTTCCTTCCGTGTGCTTCCGCTGTCCTGCAGCAGCCTTGGTGATGTCCTGGGAGCGGAGCAAGTGCTTCGTCACCTCCGTGGGGGTTTAACATGTTGGCTGTCCCAGGAAGCAAGGCCTTGAGCGCGCCGCACATGGAGAGAGGGAAATGCCCCTCCAGAGAAGGTGGTTCCTGTTGGGCCTGGGCTGATGGTCGAGTTGGGCTGATGCAAAGAACTCGAGTTGGTGGGGCTTCTAGCCGCCTGCCTAACTTCCTTCTTGAGGGTCCTCAGAACACATGCACTTACCTGGACGGCCAGCCACCACCGGCCAAGACTCCAAACACGAAGACACCTGCTCCTTTGAGCCTTACCTTGTGTACACTTTTGGGGTTTTCCAACCAAGCATAGTACATTTCCTCCACATAGTTCGAACTAGTCCCGCTGAGGAAAGGCTCCGCAGCAACGGGGGCAGTATAGCACCGTATCTGCCCAAACGTCCTAGCTGCTGCTGGTCTGTTTTGTGAAAATGTCTTCACAGTCTGGGAAGCCGTTAACGGCCTCAACTTAGCAGCACAAGTCCTTAAGTGAAACATTCTTGTCCTGAAGTCTCTCACGACTGTCTGCACCAAAGAAAAGAAAGAGAAGTTAGAAAGCGCATTTTAGCAGACAAGGCTACTAGGGGGAAATCCTCTCAGACTTTGGCTGGAGGAGAAAGAGTCTGTAAATGCATGTGTGGCTGCGTGTTCTGCTTTAGAGCATGGCAGAGCGTGAGGTAGTGAAGCGGACCAACCTTCTACATACAGGGCCTGCACTCAACATGGGGAGGTAAGCGCACGGCTGCAGAGGCCATGGTCTTCACTTGCAAGTTCGATCTAGTTTGAGGGCTGTGAGACATCATGACAGGGCCGCTTCCCTGATGGCTCGGCAGTAAAGAACCTGCCTGCAATGCAGGAGATGCACGTTCAGAAGTCAGAAGATCTCCTGGAGGAGGAAATGGCAACCCACTCTAGTATTCTTGCCTGGGAAAGCCCATGGACAGAGGAGACTGGTAGATCCCTACAGTCCCTGGGGGGTCACAAAGAATTAAGACACAACTAAGCACATTTAAGTTTATATGTTGTGTAAAACAACTATAGGAAAAGGCAACAAGGGTGAATTAAGGATTAGGTTAGTATTAACTGCAAAAGGAGAAATACTTTTTAATCTATCCGGAGATTACTGAGCCCTGCTGGACTCTTGGTATTCTGGAGAACACAGAGACACTGGGAAAATATTCTGCTCACCCTCAAATAAATTATCTTTGAGCAGAAGAAAAAAATATACTAAAAATAATTACAGCAAAAGCACTGAGCACCTGAGAGGCACAGAAAATACCAACAAAACTCCCTGGGAGAACCCACTTCTCCTAAGTGCTCCTTTCCAGCAGCCAGGAAAGTTTGGGGAAGGGCAGAGACAACAGGGAAGACTTCGCTCTGAAGAGGAGGGGAAGGCAGGGATTCTACATATAAGAATCAGTAGGAAGAAAGATCAGAGAGATGGAAAAGTTTGAAGAACACAGGGGAGGAGCAAGAACTGTCTTGGCCAGCAGGAGGAATGGACTAGCTGGACGGCCAATGGTCTGGATGCCACGTTTCCTAAAATTGGAGCCAGGAGAGGGCCAACAAGGGAGGCAGGGGGCTCTGCAAGACAAAGGCATGGACAGCAATGACCACAGAAGAGTCTGCCTACCTTGCTCCACTCTACAGTCAGTAGCTTGACCTGTTAGATCTCTTCCAAATCTACCAACTCCCTCAAGGCGGGTGTTAGCTATTCTGCTTTATAGGTCACCTTTCTGAATTTGTTTACATTTTCCCCAAGGTTGAATGGACCTTGAGTTTGATGGCTGTAATTTTACTAAATCTAATATAACTCTAACTACACTATCCACTTTACAAAAGCAGCTGATGCATCCACTAGACTATGAAAGAGTTTAGACTGTCTGGGTTGGGAAGGTCCCCTGGAGGAGGGCACGGAACCCACTCCAGTATTCTTCCTGGAGAATCCCCATGGGCAGAAGAGCCTGGCGGGGCTACAGTCCATAGGGTCGCACAGAGTTGGACACGAATGAAGTGACTAAGCAGCTGCAGCGGAGGGTCTTGAATCACTTCCAATCATGTGTAAGCATTCAGATGCCTCTGGAAGGGGACAAGGACACTGTGCTGCTTCTCTTCCCATAAAAATCCCAGCTGCCCAGTGGTCTCTTCCAGTCATAGCAAAAGAGGCCGGGGAAGGGGAGGGGAGCCGCTGGGCAGAAGTGAGGCTCACCACAGCCCTCTGCCCTGGGAAGTGGTGACTGATAGTCTAACAAATGGTTGGCCTTAAAGCAAGTGCCCTGGCTGTAAAGTGGGAATTACACCCCACCTCCACTCCTGCCTGAAGGAAATCCAAGCTCTGAGACAGGCTGAGAATTACCCAGAAATAAATGTTACATAAACTATCCTCTACATCGTTTGTAAGAACCCCTTCTCTTGACCCAAATATGATCAGGATATGCATAAAGGACCCTGGCCTGTTTGGCTGCTTGGAAAAGACAGGTCAGCAAAAGCAGAATTTAAAAGCTAAACAAACAAAAACTTGCCACTTAAAAATTAAATGCAATCTTTAGGATGCTATCTTAACTCCTTTTTTAAAAAAGCCCTTAAGTAACTTCAGTAGATCTTCCTACTGCCAACTCTATTCCAATTTTCTCAGCTATTAAGTTTAAGGCAGACAAAAAGCTATCAAAGACACTGATGGCAAAAATACTATTACTGTTGCTTTCCACGTTAATTTTTTAAAAACTCAGGCCGACACTCATCTCTTTCCTCCAATGTCATTATTATCTAGGCAGCTTGAAACACTCTGAGTTGGAGTTTTCTCCTAGAACACAGCAGTATCATCACCTCCATTAACAGTCATTATTCAGTTGCTGCAATACCCAATTAACAGGCACCACGCTGACAAGTACAAAACTGTTCATCTCTTCTTCCCAAAGCAGTCCTTCCAATATGATACAGTAAACAAACCACATTACTAAGTTCTACAGTCATAAAATCTGACAAACAGCTCAGTGCTGCCCAGCACAATTACTAACAATCTTCAAACTTCCCTTAAGATGACTCATAGGAAAACTTTGCCTTCAGCAGACAGCTCAACATCTCCCTGCCTCCACCCCAGGATGACCAGGAACAGCTGTTCCCTATCCGCAATCTGAGAGACCACAGAGCAGACACCAGGTATACATTTCAGATTCTGGAAGGTTCAGATTCCATCCTTCCAATTCCAGAGTCAACATTAAGAATAGTGCATTTCTGGTAGGAATGCTGAACCGTTCAAACCCTTTCATGAAAGCTTTGGGTTGTCAAAAAAGTCCAAGTGTTCTGACTTGTGGTTGAGAACAATATTTCTACTTGATAGGGGTGCCAAATATTCTTAGTGGGGAAAGAACAGTCTTTTCAACAGATGGTGCCAGGGCAACTGGAGATCCACATGTGAAAAAATGATCTTGGACCCCTGTCTTACACCATACACAAAATTAACTCAAAATGGATCAAAGACCTAAATGCAAGAGCTGACACCGTTAAGACTCTTAGAAGGTTTCTAACTTCCAAAATGGAGTAAATCTTCAGAACCTTGAGTCAAACAATGTGTCTTAGGACACCAAAAGTACAAACAACAACAAACTGGACTTCATCAAAATAAAAACTTCAGTGCTTCAAAGTGAAAGTCACTCAGTCGTGTACAACTCTTTGTGACCCCATGGACTGTATAGTCCATGGAATTCTCCAGGCCAAAATAGTGGAGTGAGTAGCCTTTTCTTTCTCCAGGGGATATTCCCAACCCAGGAATTGAACACAGGTCTCCCGCATTGCAGGCAGATTCTCTACCAGCTGAGCCAGAAGAGAAGTGCTCAGTGTTTCAAAAGACACCGTCAAAAAAGGCAGTCTAAAAAGGAATATATGCAATTTATACAGCTAGTAAGGTACATGCATGCAGAATATAAAGAACTCATGACTCAAAAATGTAAATATAAATCTATAGTGAAAAGTAACCCAATCAAAAAGCCTGCCAAAGGATACAAATAGACATTTTTCCAAAGAAGACACACAAACGACCAGTAAAAATGTTAAAACATACTTAGCAAAAAAACTTGCAAATCAAAATCACAACAAGATAGGACTTCAGGCCCACTAGACTGGATTATAATCAACACAAGCAAGTGTTGGAGAGAACAGGAAGAATTAGAACCCTCATACAGTCCGGGTGGGAGTGTAAACTGGTGCAGCCACTTTGGAAAACAGTTTCTCAAAAAGTTAAACATAGAATTACTATGTGGCTCAGCAACTCCACTCCTAGGTACACAACCAAGAAAAACAAAAACATATGTCCACACAAGCCCTTGTACACAGATGTTCACTGCAGCATTATTCACACTAGCCAAAAAGTGGAAAAACTCAGAATGTGATAGAGCCATACTATAGAACTAAGCCATAATAGAACTAATAAAAAGGAATGAAATACCAATACATCCTGCAACACAGATGACCTTTGAATATATTAAGTGAAAACAGTCATTCACACAAAAAAACCACAATATTACATGACTTCATGTATATGAAATGTTCAGAACAAGCAAATCGATACAGACATAAAGCCCAGGGTTGGGGGCAGTAAGGATCTGACAGGACTACTAATGGGTGTGGGCTTTTTGCATTGACAGGTGGATTTTTTACCACTGAGCCACCAGGGAAGCCCAGGTATGGGTTTTTTGGGGGCAGGGGGACATGAAAATATTCTAAAACTAGATTATGCTGATGACTTCATGACCTTCTGGTATACTGTAAGACATTAAACTGTACAGTTTAAATGGGTGAATTATATGGCATATGAATTATACCTCAATAAAGCTTTTTTCTTTTAATCTTTGTCAACAAATATGCCCAACCCTAAATTTCATTGATTTTTTTTTTTGCTACACAGAATGACATGCGAGTTCCTAGTTCCCCGACCAGGGATTGAACCTGTGCCCCTCTCCACCTCCATGCAGTAGAAGTGTGAAGCCCCAACTGCTGGACCACCAGGGAAACCCCTCAATAAAGCTGTTTTTTTTTTTTTTTTTTGAGGAATTAAAGCTGTTTTTTAAAAAGTCTAAGAAGAAACACGAATCTATCAATATAGTACCCAAAATGACACTCTTTGTAACCATTAATTTCAAGACACAAGTATATAAATCTATACATTTGAGGAAAATAACATTTAAAAAAAAAAAGCAAAAACTAAAGCAAAACTTGTTTTTAAGGGTTAAGTGCTCTGCTCTTAGGAAAATAAAACAGAACTTTATCTGTGCCTAAACATTCCACAGTCAGGCAGCACACACTTTACCCAAGGTCACCTCCCCATTCACAGGATGGAGAGATAAACTGACTCCTGACGTCTATGACCGTCATGCTGGCTAGGTAGGGGAGTAATTAGAGGTAAAAACAGCCTGGACAGTTTCTCAGGACATGAGTCTTTGAGGGAAAAGCACATGCATAGTTAAATGGTTGTTACCATTGTATGTTGCCTGTGAACCATT